TCAAGAATTATAAGTAATTAATTGATATTTTTAACACCCTATACCGGCCATTGGTAATGAAATGATGTGAATAAATTTGTTTTCGTCAAAATTGTAAGTCAGTGTTGTAAGAGTGTTTCGTTGTGACAGTGACTCCGGAATCAAAAGGTGGGCTGCATACTGCATAACATCGTTTTCTAATTGATGTTGTCATTTCTCGAATGTGTAAGATCCATTTAATCCTCGTCCATAGGCTCAGCATTTTTCTTCTTCTTCTTCTTTTTCTTCTTCTTGGCACTGGCCTCGGCCTCCGCCTCCTGTAACGCTTCCTCCATGGCCTCTTTCATCACTTCTATATTTTTTTTGGGAATGTCACCCGTTTCATAGAATTTCAGTCGATCTTCAACTTGTTGACGGAGTTTTTCTCCGAATACTGTTGTTTGGGCCTCTGTGAAATAAATATGAAGTGATAAAATAGAAAAGGTGGTATAGGACGGTTCTTTAATAGGTGTACAACGGAACAAGTAAAAGTAGAGACCAATCGCTTGCAGGTGCGTCACAAATTCGTTGTGGCATTTTATTGGGATATGTGTAGTAAGTACACTCACGTTACGCGTAGCGAACGCGGTGAGCAGTATCACTAAGAAGAGAATAAATTTCACTGCTTTACTTGCCAGAGAAGCAATCAATCCTGGAAGCAATGGAGCACTTGTTCGCGAGGTACCGACTGATGCGGCCTTTGTTCTTGAGCCCAGCGCGACCGATGAATGTAGAGTGGTACAGCAGACCGTACTTTGGCGTATTCGATCGGGTCTTTAAAGCTCTAAAGAGAGCTTTCTCTGCACCTGTTGATTTTGCTTATATTTAGTAATGTACGTGTAAGAACACAAATTCATTTTCAATACTACAAATTGTAACTCCATGTGAACACTCATGGTAAATTCAGTACGCAACTTATACTTTTTTTCTTCTGATAACAAATCATGGTAAAGAAAACATAACATTACAAATGCCAGTATAATGTTATTTTTTTATTTAAAAAGATAAGCTTAATGTTTGAAACATCTGCTTCTTTAAGTTTTTTAAATAGATTGTTTAAAGATTTTACATTTAAGAAGAAGAAAGAAATTTTACATTTAAGGTTTCTGTTGTGAAATGAATTTCTTTTTATTAAAAACTAAGTGCGCATTTGACATGCATCTCACCTGACGGAAAGTGACGATAACGTCGATAATGGAGTGTGCATCACTTAAATAGTGCCTATTCACTCTCGCCTTGAAAAGGCCCAAGTTTGTCTAATTTTACTACTACGTTTAGAGATAATTACAATTGAAGACACATTACTTTTGAACACTGAAATGCTGAAGTTTGTATTTCATGTTAACATTAATGTTCATGTTGTTAACAAAATAAATTAGTTTCTTAAACTTTCACAAAGCAGACATATTCAAGTCAACAGCCGTCAGAAATGAAACTTAGAGATGAAGATTTGTTTACATATGCTTAATTGTAGCGGCAGACAATACACGCTCACGATAGGAAGTGAACATGTTACTTTTTTCCGCAGAATATTATAGCAGTACGTTTATTACCACCAGCTGATAAATTACGCTGGTAATAGATCAATGTCTGCATAATATTGTGAAAAAGGGATGAGGTTTCGGGACAACGAACGTTGAAGTCACTTCGGCGATTATAGAGTTGAAGTTTGTTGAATGGGTGCCAACTTCAATTAAAGTTCTTTGAGCCTTACCTACAGATATAACAGTATGAATGCGCAAATCTTCAATGTATACTGACATCCATTTATATTATTTATAAACGTACGTACGTACGTACGTATGTACGTGATACCAAAAACACGATAAGAAAATTTAAAAGAAATCACTGAAAGGAACCAAAAAAATTATATTCTCGTTTTTATATATATTTATATATATATAACTAAATAAAAATGTATGCATAAATAAATACAGTAGAGTTAAGTAAGTTAAGTTTTTAGTAGCAGAAGAGCTCCTTGTGAAGGAGTTCATCCGGGGAAGTACTGTCACCTTACGTATTTATATATAAGCAGTAATATGAGCAATGCGTCCGGTTTCGAAAGGTAAGGGTGCTGGTGAAATAACAGGCACAAGGGACTTGACAACTTATGTCTCAGGATGACGGGTGCAGCGGCAGTGCTCCTAAGATCTTTGCGATTTAAAGCTCTGAGTGGCACAGCAACTCTTATGGATAGGCAGGTTAAAAAAGTCTTAACCTAAATCTCAATCTTATTATTTGCAATAAGTGCTACCATTCAGTAATTTTTTTGAACTTTCAAATCTAGTTTTCTCGATTCCACAATTTATGAGTTAGGACGGTATTTCGACTGTGTACTGGCAACCAGTACTATTTCAATTTTGACAACTTTACAGGATGAAGAAAAAATAATTTATACAGCATCTGGTCTATTAAATAAAAATACGTAGTGTACATACATACATACATGTGTATTGAAATATTTAAAAACTACTTATTTTTATTTAATAAACCAGATGCTATATATGACGCAACAAATTTTTTTCTTCACCTGTAAAGTTGTCAAAATTGAGATGGTACTGATTGCCAGTACAGTTGATTTAGTTCCACGTCTGATAGGTAGTTTATAAAATCCAACAAACCATTTAAAAGCCTTAACGCACTTAAAAAATGTTCTCCATGTGGAATGTATGTATAGTACATTTATTAATAAAAGGTGTCGATTGTTTATTACAAAATCTTGAACTTGGAAAGTGTGTGAAAACACATATTAAAAAGAAACAAAAGTTTGTTTTAAAAAAACATTGGCTAATTACCGTGTAGTTACATAGATGAGGCTAAAGCTGGATTTACATTTGTCTGACGTGTCGTGTCGCGACGCGTCAGAACGGTATCGGTTTCATACATTTAATATGGTTAGATTTATATTAACGTGTCGCAATCTGACGTGACCACTTGTGCTGTGTGTATGACATGACACCGTTATCATCCGGCGCGTCACGACACGACACGTCAGACAAATGTAAATCGAATAATAATAATAAACAAGATCTACAAGAACTAAGCCAGAAAAGTTATTCACTTGAAATTGAGGCACAAGTTTTGAAACAAGAACAAGCATCATTATTATATAAATGTCACTTACCAAGAATTTGCAATGTGGAGGCAGGGTACTTGGCAAGGTTAGTTAAGGAACCAGCCTTTGAGATGAGACGGGCTCCTACTTGGTCACCAACTAGTACGGTCAGATTAGGTGCTACGCTGTTCATCTTTTGATGTAGATATTCTGATATTTGCTTCCTACATACGTAATATACACATTATTGTACAGTATTAATAGCTATCTACAATATAATTTTGGAAAAAATTGAGAAGCATTTGTATGAACCTAACATTGTGAATAAGAGTTTTTGACAACAAATTTTATGTTTAATATGGGGAGTAAATTATGTATTACACTGTCCATTGACATAAACTGCAGGTAAAATTTGAAATCAGACTGAAATTCAATATATGTCATCTCTGTATTACAGACCTGTAATTACTTAATCCAACAACTCTCTTTGCAAACATCTGTATATTAATCAAATCAACAGGTGATATGTCCATTCCCATGGACATTTTAGACGCGTCAATAATCGCTTGGGCCTTCTCAGAATCGCCTAGAATTTCTGTAAGGGGTTCCACTGATTCTTCTGACAGAGTTTTTCGGTCTTTAATGTATTCTGCGCATTTTGTGTAGAGATGATTCTCTGGGACAATACTTATCAGCTCTGGAAAATGGTATGAGTACCATTCTCTGAAAGAAAATGCAAGCATAAAATATTTGGTGAAATTTAGAGATATAAATCTTACAACATAAATGTTTGAGTTATGTGTAACAACTATAGTATGTCTTTTTTGAAGATGGAGTGAAATGACATTTGTAGGGTTGCCAGTTTTCATAAAATTTTAAATAGTTATGCAGTTGTTGTCGATAATTTTATTGACAGATTTTGAAAAAAGATAAAATTTTGCCAAAAATGACTGCATTGTGAATGTTACAACATTCTAATGATTACTAATTGCATTGTTCATTGCCTTCTTTATTCTTATCTTGATAGTTGGCCAACTAGTCTCGAGATCCATTTTTATTCATATGCTTCTTAACAAAAAATAGCCAGATATCATTATCTATATTGAATTAAAATGAAACATTTCAAAATTTGTGTTTGTGTTTTTCATAAACTTAGTTCTAAATACAGTGTATGTATGTATGAACTTACAAAAATTGACAATTCAAATGAACTTGTGCTTGGATGAATAATGGGTAGAAGATGATTCAAATGAAATAAGTTCGGCTATTTATTCCATAAGCATGACCAATATTCAGTTGATAGTTGATAGATTAATTATCGACTGCAATCACTGATTGCTCGCGAGTGGGTAACACTTTTGTGCAATGAAATGTAATTTTACTCCATCTTCAAAAAAGACATATAACAAACTATATATTACTGATGGCACTTTAAGTTTGTGTAATCTTAACATATTTTGCCAGAAGTAGAGATATTCACAAAATACATATACATAGCACTTAACATTGAGCCAAAAAATCGTGTGAATAGCAATTTAGTTTAAAAGCATCTATAAACCTTACCTTATTCTCATGGAAAATGTGTTAATATCTTTATCTAACTGGTCCAACAGAGCAATCGACTGTATGATCATGTTATCTACTCGATGTACATTAAATTTCACTCGGGCGCGTGAGTATGAGTGACCCAGACCGAGTTGGGCCACACTGCAGGCCTTCAGGGTTAGCCCTTTGATAAGAGAGTGGAAGTGGTAGCGAATACCTGATAGCAAAAAACATAAGTGTCCATGACACAGACAAAAAATCACAACGTGCTGCAGTCAACAAATTCTTAAATGTTTCTCAAAATATGAAATCTAGTTAGTCAATATATTTCCTAGAGTGCAATTTAATACTTGAAGATGATGTCTGTTATAACAATACAGAGTTTATCCATTACTTTACAATCATTGTTCAAACACAAAAATCTCCTTTTTTAAATGAAGACTAAACAAATTTGGAACAATTTCATTATTTGCTGTTGTTGGTGATTGATGGTGGAATGGTGATTTTTATAAATTGTCACAAAACAATACTCTATATCTTTCTTTTTTTTAAATCTAGTTTTAAGAGGCCTGAAACGTTCGGGCGTTTATGTCGGCCTCGTAATGTATGTATACATATAAATAAGTCTCCTATTTTATCTGTCACTACTCCCATGTGAGGTATTGCTCCGCATCAGAAAGCAAGACCTCACATAGGAAGCTTCAATTACTTATTATAAACATACTATAGAGTATATATAATAATGTGCTCACACTCATTGCTCCGCACTAGGGAAACCCATACCAAGGACACACACATGGACAACCACAAATTACAGCCAAACTCACTAGAGAAATAAATGTAATACAGATATTTCTCCTGGCCCAGGAATCTGTGTGGCAGTCCAGCATGGTAACCATTTGGCTACTGAGGCTATTATATGTTTGTCTCCAACTTTAATGTGAAGATTGATTTAATACAAGAACTACTAATTTGCCTGGTTATGTGTTACAATATATACCTCTCACAATCTCTGGAACAGCCCCCGTATGTGAACATGGTATCTCCAAAGCTTCACTTGCTGCCGCTCCAAGTTTAGGGTCAAGAACCCCCAAAGTGCACTTGCTACGCTTCTTGCGCTTTGGTAGGGCTCCCTCTAGGAACAGATTTAAATCTTCTGGGATGATACCTAAAGCATTAATGATTAATTAGTCACATAATAATAAAAAATAACAAAAGACAACTAAATATAATCCGAAAATAATTTCACGATAAAGTTTTTTGTGTGTGTAAATTGTGCTTCTAAAAGATCATAAAAAGATTATAATTAAAAAAGATTCAACTGTACATTACCATCGCACGAGTTGAGAGTTAAAATTAATATGGTGAATAGACTACATAGTTAACAGTCTAATCCTATAATATTAGCTTTAGGAAACTCGTAGTTTTGATAATAAAAATTATTGAAATATTCGAAACTAAATGATCAGAAACAGGTTTTGTAGGTTAGGAAAGCACGGCGTTTGATAGTTACAGTAACATTTTATAAACAACATAAAAAAATAAACATTTTCGTAAAAAAAAAATTTACGAAAAGCCGCGCGCGGTGTTTCATTAATTTTTTTTAACGAATTTTCGTTTATTTTCTTGCATTGTTTATAAAATATTTCGCAATATTTAATTATAAGCATAAATTAATAAGCAATTATATATTTAAGATTGAAATTTACTATATTTAGTATGTATGCTTTTATTTTTGAAAAAAAATTTAAAACAAATTAATTTTACATAGGTTAAATCTTGGTTGCGTCCCACAATCAGTAGGTTAGGTTAGTATATGATAAAAGCCAGAAGTGAATTTGTTTGCGTTTTGGAAATTATATTATAATTTAAGAAGTTCATAGACAGCATGAATTAGGATTTTGCGTTTTTGCCTGGTTTTTGGTTAAATTTAGTTTCTCATTTAACATAGAAAGTGAAGGGGTCCGTAACTCCCAACTCACATGGGGTGGGAGGTCTTTACCCCGCTAGGGACTCGGAAGAAGGGATTTACCCCGCTCTTTGGTGCGAAAACACGATTTTTTGAGGTTATTTTTTTAAACTTGGTTCTGTTCTGGATGTCCTGCTCCTATGGTACCAATACTACAGATTTCCTAGCTTGAAGCCAGGTAATGTTTTGCGATATTTTATCATTTTAAAAAAACAACATGCGCACGCTAACCTTCTGAAACAGCATTGATGTTTTCCAAAGCCACTACAGCAGATTTAAAAGGCTGGAAAGCCACCAGCGTAACTACAGAATTGAAGCGCTGCAAATCTGTCACAGACTCCTCCACCTGCGGTAAGAACGTCGCCAGTTCCTCGAATTCCGCGACTTTGAAGAGTCCATATCCTGCACTGTGCTCGAAAAGCACGTACAGCTTACTCTGGAAATAACACAATAATAAAACCACAAATTTAACCACGTTTACTGTAATTCAAGGTGCGGACATATTACTAACCATTATGCTTATTTTCACAATTCAATTACACATACTTCGTGAGATATTCTCGGAGAAACAAATACACGCACGTGTGCTTTGCTTCTCCGCGTCCCAAATCTTTTCTGAATATTTTGAGGTTATGTTTGTTTCGTTTCACGGCGGAGATATGTAATAGATGTTTTCAAAAATTGCGTGTCGTGGAACGTAATTATAAGGTTTTTTTTTATCGTATTTTTCCACTTTTGTCCTTGTTTTTCTGTGAAATGAAAAGAATTAAGACTACAATAAAAAAGTATACTTTCTTGTGTTTGTTTTGTTATCCTCAATAGGGTATCTCCCTACTATTTTTTACCATACTCTAAGGTATCTCCCTTCTATCCTCAAGTCTAAGGTATCTCCTATTAGTTTGTGTCAATAGACTCAACTAGTGTTGGTCCCACAAAAATTTCCATTTTGAAAAAATTTTTTAGAGAAATGAATATTTTTCCGGATGTTTTCCCAATATTTTTATGTTATTTTTTCCATATTTGAGGTTGACATCTGTCTAAAGTTGAAGTTACCGAATGTAAACGATAGAGCTAGATACACAGTGTCACAGTCACAGTATCGATACTGTACGCATGAGTAGGATCGTATAAAAAGTACTGAACTCATAATACGATACTTTTGTCCTGCTAATTTTCCCTACTTATAGACAGAACACATGAATTAATAAGTCTTTTATTTGATTTATGTTTTTTTTATTGAAATAAATAACAAAAGACTGATTAAGTCGATCAATTCAATCAATCTTCATTTCACATAATTTGTGTTATATAAATTTCCTCCTCTGTATAATCACTTAAAAATAAAAATCTATTTGGCAAGTCTGTTTCTCGTTTTTGATACTGTATTGTCTGCTTTTGAAAACAAACGTTCTGAACAAAGAACAAACTTCGCCGAATTTGCGAGGTACTCAAATATAATGTTTGTCAGGTATGTTAATTCAAATGTTTCTAACTATTTTTCGTCATTCTCATTCCCATAAAGAGGCAAATGGTGGCATACACTATTACAGCCAAGTCATTTGTGACGAAGGTTGCCATTAAAAAAAATCGCAAGGTGGCTTGCGTTACGATATGAGGTGTCTTATGTAAGAATTAGTAATGTGGCTGTTGGAGGTTTATTTCGCTGTTGTAAAATGATTTTAAAATTTCTTTTTCTTTTTAAGTAGCTTTTAGACAAGTTTATTTTATAATTAATGCTAAAAAATTTTAAAGACATTTCTAAACGTAGAACATAATATGAGCCTTCCAAATTATGTACTCCCGGACACATAATTCGAGCCACCTCGCATTCTTGTCTTACAGGGATAGGATACAAAAATAGTGTTGAATACAAAATACAAAAAAATGTTATCATTGAAGAAAAAAGTTTTCTCTGGTTTTGCAAAACCAAATTCCCAAGAAGGACATATGGAAAAGGCCTTTTAGTATAATATTTTCAAAATTGTATAATAGTTGTTGATCAATCAAACATTGTTTAAGCTTGGGGCACTTAATACTGGAAATGAGTGGTGGATCGAATCATGTGTCTGGAAGTGTATTTTATTATGTCTCAAATATTTCCAATTTTTTTCAGAATTTTTCCGAAATAATTTCCACTATTTGCAATATTTTGGAAAATTTCCTACAGTAGGTTCAGTGTTCTGTATTGTACAGCCGTGAAAAAAAAAGAAATATTCAAAATGTCAACGGTAACCGTGATGTGATTGTTTTGATTTGGTTTTACCTCTTAACTTTAGTGTTCTCCCCCCATATTGTTACTCTATGTAAATTTATCCACTTAAATAACATATATTTATAAATATTGTTTTGCTGTTTTGTTTTACATTCTCAACTGAGTACTCCCGTAGTCCAACTTACCAACACCGGTTAATGTCCTATTAGAGCTTAGCGAAAATTTTTTTTTTGTTTCGTTTTTTTTTCTTTCAACTGTGACATTGGCAAAATCATCAGTTCTCATATTGATGGAGCCATAAAAATAAAAAGTGAAGTGAAGTGAATCTTTTGAGACTAAATAAAATGAATTAATAAAATTTTGTTATTCATTGCCGCGTGCAAAGTTATTACTATTATAATTCATGTTTGAGTGTGAGAACTACAACAATGGCTGCTGCAATGACAATACAAAGGGATCTCGTAATAAATCTGAAAAAAGAGACTTTTGCCAATGTTAAAATACTTAACAAGCATCAGTCGATGCCACAGGACTTAGCAAGACAAGTACTCAGGGATAATGCATTAGATAAACCAACTCAGAATGTATTTAATCACCTTGCTTACTATTTGGTTTCCATTATCGATTCCCAAGCTTGTAGTGCGTTACCGTGGCCTTTATATGATTCTAAAACTGAAAGAGCATATAGAAATGGCCTTGCTACCTTTATTACTGACTATGGCGAGAAGGGTCTTCTTACACCAGTTGTGTCTTCTTATTTAGTCAACCCTGGGTGCTACAAAGTGACCATGTTGACATTTCAACTCTCGCAAGTAGCTGTCCAGCGCGTTCTAGAGTCGAAAATGAAGAAAGCGAGTCAAATTAAGTTGTATAAAGATATCACAAACAAGTGTAAATCATTTTCAGTCACTAATGAGGAATTACAGCTAGCTGTAGAAAAACAAGTACAAATAAATGTGAGTAAGCGCTCTAAATACCTAAGGAAGAGGCAGGCAATAGAAGAAATTGCCAGAATGTTCCAGAATAATATTCTGCAAATGGAAGAACTATTAAAAAACACAAAGGCGCAAAGTTATATTGACAACCTTGTTGATGGTTACGTAAAAGAGTGTAAACCAAATGGACAAACCAAGGAAGACATTCTTGAGGTCAAGAACATACATGTACAGCCTAAAATATTTGAAAAATATCTCTTAGAAGTTGACAAACAAGTGAATAAGTTAGAATCTGAATGGGACAGAAAAACTAGTCCATTCCTAAACATCTGTAAAGAAACTTTCAAAAATACTGAAACATTAATAGCTAGACACACTGGAGCTGATCAGTCATCATTTACAGTTGAGTATAATCATAAAACCGATGAAATAAACACAATTGAGCTCCAAAAACATGTAAATAGTGAACAAAAATACGTACTAAAGAATATAGTATGCGATCAAAGGCTGAATTTCCCAAACCTTATAAGAGGATTTCTTATATCAATGAGTTTTATATTGAAGAATACAGTCATTGGAGATGATGTTTACGGATTCAACAAATGTTTGTATGAAGGACATGCACGATATGGTGAAATTGTTTCCTCCATGAGGACATTAATTGAACGGGTCATGAATGCTGAAAGCAGGATGCAGGTAAATACTATAATAATAATAATAATGCACACACTCAACATAGCCCCGTACTAGGGAAACCCTGTGTTGCAGGTGCCATGGACATACACTAAGACAACCACAAATTATACTTTGTTTCAATCCATTTTGAACAAAAAGTAAACAAACAAGTGATCCGACCATAAACGGTTAAGTGATGGCCAATTGTAACGCCAACTAACAAAAAGATCAATTAATTGAATGAATTGATTTGTTCAATTGAGTCATACTAGCGGTTTTCCTTACATAACCTATATAAGCATATTTAAAATTTCAATTTAAATCCTCCTTCAAATCCTTACACTTACATACTCGTTCGATTGCAATTGAAATGTTCGATTTAATAATCAATTGCTAAACTTTAATTGATTGAACCGAATGTTTTTTTTGAACAGCACTATGCAACCATAGGCAAGTCATAGAAGTATAGATGAATAATAACCTCACTTTTCGACTACCATTTTTCAAATACGATTTTTCGATGCTATTCAAATTAATATTGTTGGAAAAAGGGATGACATATCAAGTAGAAATCTTTGAAATATACTATTGAAATATATAATATTGAGTGATTGCTTTAGAATTTTAACCAAACAGGTTAGTTTACTTTTTGTTCAAAATGGATTGGAACAGACTATACAGCCAAATTCACGAGAGAAATAATTGTAGGCCATACAAATATTTCTCCCGGCCCGGGAATTGAACCTGGGACCTCTGCGTGGTTGTCCAGCATGGTAACCATTCGGCCACGGAGATAGTGGTACTGCATTTAGTATGTTTTATTTGCATGTGTGGTGAGTTGTATGGGTGTAACTTCTTGGTGATGTGTGAAGTTCCCTCACATTGGGCTACTTTGTGGTCTATGGCCTAAAGCATAGGTTTTTTTTTTACAAATGTGGTAGCACCCCTTGGACAGGACCAACGTCCCCCAATTGCTTACAAGGCCCTTACCTAGGACTCTAAAGCAGCTACTGGGGGGCAGTAGGGAGCACTTTAGGAAAGTATGGCCAAAATAAAGCCTCTTCATAACCTCCCAAAGCCCAGTGTATATAATAATAAAAATGTTGCATTCAAATTTAGCACTAAATAAAGTTTTTAACCGACTTTACAAACAGGATGAGGTTCTCAATTCGGCAGTTTTTTTTGTATGTATGTTACGCGATAGCTCCGGTATTTGTGAACCGATTTTCATGATTCTTTTTTTGTTGGAAAGAGGGTACCTCTATAGTGGTGCCATTTAATTTTGAAGAAAATTATCCACCTCTAAGGGCTGTTCACGCATGAAGATTCATTTTTATAAATAGCGCCTCAATTTTATTATAAGGAGCAATTATTTCAATGGTTGATTTTGCTATTCTCCAATTCAAGGCGTTTTTCTCTCTCATATACTTTGAGTAGTAGTGAGAACCGATTTTTATTATCTCCTGTGGCAAGTCCCGTATAGTGGCGAACTAGGGGATGAATCCGGGTTTGCGCACTTTCCGGTAACCTATTTCAATTAAACTGGGTAATTATATGTAATTCCACATACCTGAGGTCGGTTTTTTTAGTACTCTGTACTGAGGTTATTCATAAATCGCTTGTTTCATAAAACATTTGCTTGAGCTTGAATTATATTAATA